GAGTAGCAGCGTGGTGGGAAGCTGAAGCCGAAGGCCAGGTGGGGCCTTCACCTCGGCGTGCCGATGGCGAGCAAGGGCTGGGAGCTCCTCGACATCGACGCCAAGCGGGTAGTCACCACGTCGGACGTAGTGTTCTACGAGGACCTGTCGCTCGAAGTGTGGAAGTCAGAGTACGGGCCAGTGTCAGGACGGACGCCGACCACCCCGCCGACCGACACCTCGACGGCGACGCAGCCCCTGCTCGCCGAGGTCGGTGGGCTTTCTGCTGAGGACGACGAGGTCGTCCATCCTCCTTCCCCTCCCTCTTCGACCCCTGCCCCCCCACTCGTGGCCAACCTGCGCAGGCTGACTCCTGTGTCGGCCTCTGGCGATGAGGGGAGTAGTGGGACGTCGCCTTCGGCGCCGGCCAAGGGCATCGCCAGTGGTCGACGTGACGAGCGGCAAGTCGACGTGGGATTGAAGCTGACATCGATAGGAGAGGAGCAGGTCGAGGAGCAGCAGCGGACAGGGGAGCAGGCAGCAGTGAAGCCGACCACGGAGCAGTCGGCAACCAGGGAGTCGGCAGGGAAGCCGACCACAGGGGAGAGGTCGACCAGGAAGTCGACCGAGGTGCAGCAGGACGACGAGGGCAGTAAGGACGCCGGGGAGTCCACCAAGAGTGACGTGGTGGAGGTTCGGCCTAAACCTCGGAAGTCGGATAGACTTCGGAGGCCGCCGGACTTCTTCGTCCCCGCTGCCTTCACCACGGTGTACGACGTGGATGATGACGACGACCTGCTGTACGACGACGCCGAGGAGGATGAGGAGTTTCCGGAGCTCGACCCTGACATGCTGGCCGACCCCGAGCACCGTTGGGACATCTCGACAATGACGGTGAAGGAGGCTTTGGCGAGCTGGAAGGGCCCGGCGGTGAAGGCCGCCATGGAGGAGGAGATCCGCAGCCTCATCAACATGGGCACTTGGGAGCTGGTCGAACGCCCGCCGGGAGTCAACATCATGAAGAACCGGTGGGTGTTGACGACGAAGTATCACGTCGACGACACCGTCGAGCGCGAGAAGGCGAGGCTGGTCGTGAAGGGCTTCACGCAGGTGTACGGCGCCGACTACGACGAGACGTTTGCGCCGGTGGGCAGCTACGTCACGCTGAGGATCTTCCTCAGCATCGTCGCCGTCCTCAACCTCAACCTGATGCAGCTCGACATGAAGAATGCCTTCTTGCAAAGCAAGCTCGACCGGGTGCTCTACATGTCCCAGCCGGACTACTTCAACGACGGAACTGGTCGGGTGTGCAAGCTGCTGAAGAGCCTGTATGGGCTGAAGCAGTCGCCGCTGCTGTGGTACTTGGCGCTCAACGACGTGCTGGTCGACGCCGGGTGGTAGAAGAGCCAGATCGACGAGGCACTGTACTTCAAGGTCGGCGACAACGGAGTGGCCTGCTGGGTGCTGGTCTACGTCGACGACCTGCTGGCCGCCAGCAGCAGCACCGCGATGCTGAAGGAGCTGAAGGAGCTGCTGGCGTCCGCCTTCGAGCTGCGCGAGATCTCGCCGGTGCAGAAGTACCTCGGGCTGGAGATCATCCGTGACAGGTCGGCAGGGAAGCTGTGGCTGCACCAGCAGGGCTACGCCGACAAGCTGCGTAGGCGTTTCATCAACGAGGAGCAGACCGGGCGCACCCCGAAGATGCCGGTCTCGGTCGACGCCTACGCCGAGCTCACCTTTGACGACGAGGAGGCACAGGAGCGACAGGAGGAGTACCGGCAGAAGGTCGGCTCGCTACAGTTCGCGGCAACAACGACGAGGCCAGATATCGCCTTCGCCTGCAGCAAGCTCGGGAGCGGCCTCACGGTGAGGAGCGACCAGCACTGGCGCGAAGTCGACCGCTGCCTCGCCTACCTCGCCAACACGCGTGACACCGCCCTGGAGTTCGGCGGTGGACCTGAGTCGCTGGAGCTGGTCGGCTACGTGGACACCGACGACGCCGGTGAAAAGCAGAACAGGACGAGCACTGGCGGCTACGTGTTCATCTACGGAGGGGCCGCAGTCTCCTGGTCGAGCCAGCGCATCAAGTGCGCGACGTTGTGATCGACCGAGTCGGAGTACGTGGCGGCCACCGAAGCCGGCAAGGAGGGACGTCGACTTCGTTTTCTCCTTGCAGAGTTCCGGCAGCTGGATGCCGGGAAGTCGACCGTCCTCTGGGTGGACAACAAGTCGGTCGTCACAGTCGCCGAGGGCATGGGGTTGACGGACAACCTCAAGCACATGGAGCGGCGACAGGCCTAACTGCAGCACATGGTGAGGCGCGGGAAGTTCTCGCTGAGGTACATCCCGACCGCTGAGCAGCCGGCCGACTTCCTGACGAAGGCGCTGCACTATCCGGCCTTCAACCGGTGCTCCGTCGCCATCGGCCAGGTGCGCTTGGCCGACGTGGGCGACGAAGTTGACGACGTGCAGCAGTAGGTGCCATGCCCTCTTGCATGGCTGGTGCGGTGGACGACGTGCTGTGAGTTGGGTGCACGTCGACGAGCTATTCTCCGAGGAGTAGTGCCGTATAGGCTGGGGGCCAAGCGTGAACGCAGCAGGGGAGTGTCAACGGGAGTTGTGTGTTGGCCCCGTCCTCGCTTGGGCGGAGCCGACGTCGTGGTCAGGTGTGAGGGGAGCAGCCGACCTGCAGCAGTGGGCAAGTTGGTTGACGAGGAGGTCGACCTGCACGGGTACCACTGCACGGGCGCCGACTTCCGGGAGGTCGACTTGGGAGTCGACCTGCGGAGGACGTCAACTTGGTGACGTCAACTTGGGGCAGCCGGCCTGGGTGGTCGGGTGACAGGTCGGCTAGTCGACCTGGTGGTTGGTCGACCAGGCGTGATGTCGACCTGGTGGTCGACCTGACCTGGTGGTCGACGTAGGAGGGGCCGACGTCGACCACAACTGAGGACGCCGAGCAGCCGGGCGTCGAGTAGTTGAGGCGTCAACTTGGTGACGCCGACTTCGGGTAGCCGACTTGGGTTGTCGACTGACAACTGCGCTGGTCGACATGGTGCAGGTCGACCAGGAGTGCTGGTCGACGTGGAGCTCGTCAACCAGGAGTGACGTCGACCTGGAGGTGGTCGACCAAGGGTGTGGTCGACCTGGTGAGGCCGACTGGAGGTGGCCGTCGACTTGGGAGGTCGACGGGCACGTACGGGAGCAGCTGGTCGACGTGGTTGCCCGGTCGACCAGGTTACCTGGGTGACGAGGTTCTGCGGAGGAATGCGACGGTCGCCCAGGCCGACCTCGGTGGTGATATCCTGAGGTCGACATGGCAGATCAGGTGGAGTCGACAGCACGAGGATGACTTGGTGTGTGCACTGTGCAGGTGACGAGGCTCAGCCCGCCAATCATCCGCGAGCACCTGCGAAGTTGGTGCGCTGCTGTTCTGTAGGATCAACGCTGGCACGCCGTCAACCTGCAACGTTGGAACGCCGTCGACTTTGCACTGCTGGAACGCGGTCGACCAAGTCGTGCTGGAACGCGGTCGACCATGCTGGGCTGGCAGTCGACCAACCTGAATGCTAGCTCTGATGTAGTCTTGCCATGCCAACTTCTTTGTACCATTGTTCTGAACTTTTCCTAGCGGAACTCTTGCCAATTTTCCCCGTGAACCAGCAAGTGTGTGCGCACAAGGAAACGACTAAGGAACGAACGAATGCAGAGATCACACTAGCACCCGTGCCTAGCCCGTAGTCTAGCTCCCGTTGTGGTAGTTATCTCCGCACTTACGAGCAGTCCACTCCTGCAGAGTCACTAGTAGATTGGGTCTGTCCATGGCGACTCATTGGTTGTCGAAATGCCTAAGACTATAGCGACTGTACTAAGGGAGTTGGATTAGGGTTGGGAGTGCGTAAGGGGATGGCGTCAAATTCGATCTAGTCTAGTTCTGACCGGGAGCAGCTCGAGGTGTATTTGAGAGGGGAAAATTGGGTGTAAACAAGGGCTTATTTGTCACTCATTGGCTCTGGTTGTGGTTACCCTCTGATCCCAATCACATCGCCATCCCAAGGTAATTCACCGTGAAATGGTGAATTGCGATGGGATGACATGAGGCGGGATGTTTGCCCGGGGACGAAATTGCTTTCCCATTTCCGAAATGGGGGAAAACTGAGGGCGTTCGCCAGGCCCTTAAGATTCCAGTTGGGTCGGACGACATCCTAGGTTCGGCGGGATTTTTACGGGCTGACCCATGACGAACCCTAACGAACCCTAACTGACGGGATCAAGTAGGCGTGACTGACCTTCCTGATCCCGTCATTTTTGCTGTTAGATGCGCTGGCGAACACCGCCGTTGTCTTGTCCCCCTCCCCTCTTGGTCGCTCTCAACCACGTCCTCCAATTTCCTGTGTTTCCTTTCTCGCTACGGCATGTGCGTTACATGATCATAGCTTATCCCTGTTGCTGCAAAAAAACTGTTTGTGCTTGAAGGGAGGTGACTTCATACGGGGCAACGGTAGTGGAGGAGAGGGTATGTACGGTGTTCGAGGATGAGAACTACAAGCTGAAGCACTCCAAACGAAGGAGCCTGTGTTCATTGCTGATTGTGGTGTTGTTGACTGATGAATAGGGTCCATAACATCCGCCTGTCTCTGTTTCTATTGGGTAAAAAAAGGGTTGAATTCCGTGCTCTTGTTTTATCAATGTCAATATGAACAAACGATTCATATTTTTTTCTGTTGCTGTGCACTACTGCAAGTTAACCCTCCCTAATCTCCCCGTACCTCTCAGTTGTTCGTTCCCCTCTGGATTCTTGTAAGATGATTGGTTTTCAATAACGAACAAATCCATCTCCATGCTCCAAGCGCAACGATGCAGCATGGTGCTGGAACTTGGGCTTTCATCTGCCAAATAAAAAGTTTGCAACTGCATCTTGCCAGGTATCTGGTACCTAGCATGGATAATGAGACCCATAAGACAACACTACAATCCACCTACTGATCTTATTTGACCAAGAATTCTTGTAACTATAGGAATCAAGCCCTCTGTGTCTGTTTCACCTTCCATTCTGCCAACACTAGCTCCATGCACACAGCCAAGAGGAGAAAGAGTTGTTAGGGGCACACCTGCATCCGCTGCCCTCAATGCGTTCTCCCCATTCCCTGTCTTCTCATTAACCCCACAACCACTCAGCACCGTAATGTCTGCCTTATAAGCCCCTTTGCCGCCCGCCGCTGCCGCGCGTTTCTCTGCGAGCCAGGCTGTCAAGTCGTGAACAGTGTCGATGTCCCTCAGGCGCAGCAGCGAATCCAGTGGCGCCACGTCAGCCACCCGGTTGGTGTGGAGTGCTGAGAGTGACTGCTGCAGCACCCTGTCTGTGCTCCAATCTATGCCCTGAAGGAATATGGGGGATGCGAGACAGGGGGGATGGGAGAGAGGGGAAGAGCCACGATGTGGGGTATTGAACTGGGTCGATGTTCCTCAGGCGTGGGAGGCAGCTATCCTGTTGGTGTGGAGTGCGGTGCAGTGAGCTACTGCTGCAGCACCCTGGCCGTGCCCCACTCTATGCAATGATGGGGTTGGCGGTGTGAAAGAGGGGGGAGGGAGGATAGCGGGGGAAGGAGTGGCGACGAGAGATTGGCGTGAGGATTGAAGGAGAGTGAAGAACAAGGGAAGTCGGAGAGTGACTGTTGCAGCAACCTAATTCTCGAAAATGGCACACCCTGGTCCATGCCCCGCTTTATGCCCTGATGGTGGGGGGGAGATGAGCACAAGGGTTAAGAGGGAGGATGGCAGGAGGAAGAGCGGTGAGGAGAAATCGGAGTGGGGAAGGAGGGGGAGGAGCAAGAGAATATGATTAAGAGGGATGCAGATGGGAGATCGGATACTGACACGCATATGCATGCATGTATGGAATGACAACGTGCATGTATGGAATGACAACGTGCATGTATTGCATGAGCACATGCTGCACTTACACACATGGAATGACCACACCACACATGGCGATATGCCCCACACACATGGTGACATACCCCACATACATGGTGGCCTGACTCAGATACATACATGAAAGAGGCACGGCAGCACCGCGGTGAGCCCAAGGAGGCAGCACCCGCCATCCAAGCACACGCACGTTACACGTAAGAGACGACACATCCACTTGGTCGCATTTCCACATACACACACACATGCGATGAGATGAGTCCACTACATGTCAAGGCATGCCTCTCACATACATACATGGAAGAGGCACGGCAGCACCGCGGTGAGCCCAAGGAGGTAGTACCCGCCATCCAGGGCTGGTCCAAACACCACCTGCAAGGGAACCCAAAGGCGCAATGAAACACGAGATTGATGGATAAAAGGATCGTGATCATCAAACACGCGCCTTTGTATTCCTTTCCTGCACACCCATTTCTTCCATCTGCCACACTCCCCACTTCCAGCGCTGCATATTTGCTACCCCCCTTGTCCTCCTCTCACCTGGTGGTGCCTGAGCGACAAAAGAGTAGCGGCCACAGTGGCGCCACCCACATCAGGGATGTGTGATCCTATCACCATCTTACTTCAGAGAGTGCCCAGACAATTCCCTCGTACCTCCTCTGACATAGTGGTGCCCTTCTTCCCCTCGCCTCCACTCACCTGGTGGTTTCTAAGAGCAGAGAGCGCGGCAGCCACTGTGACCCCATCCACATCAGGGATGTCGGTTCCGATATCCACCACCTGTCACGAGCATAGGATGGTGAGACAAGCGGAGCACAGTGGAGAGAAGAGAGAGTGAGCAGCAGCAACAGCGGCACCACCCACATCAGGGATGTCTGATCTGATCCTATGGCGGAATGTGGGAGGCAGAGAGAAGAGCGCATGCAGTGGAGAAAGCAGCAACAAAAGACAACGGCTTTTCAAAGGGTGACGGCATGGACAGGTGAGGAGAGGAGAGCACGGAACACAAGCAAGGATTCGAATGAAGGCCGAGTGAGCACCGGTAAACGTGGCAACGACTTCCGTTTAGGTAAAAATGTCGAGGGTGATTTCTTGTTAACCCTTGTGCAAAGAGTGGAAAACTGGGAACACTGCTGGAAATTCGATAAAAGAGTGCAAGCAGACTGAATTGCTGCTACTTACAGACTTCACAAAACTCATTCTATGGTATCAACATACATTTTTCCCAAACCTCACCCTACAGCAACCCAGTTGTGCTCTCACCAGCTGGTATCCCAGGCCCAACACGTGCTGGAAGGCTGCTTGCATACGCGCCCCCACGTCTCCCCCCACCTTGTATGGGGGTTTAAGGTTCTAGGGTTCCAAGGTTTAGGTTTCGGGTTTAGTGCGGTAGAAGGCTGCTTGCATGTGCACACCCACGTCCGCCCACAACTGTATGGGGTTAATATTTGAGTTAGGGTTCTAGGGTTTAAGGTTAAAGTTTCATTTTTAGGGAGGTGGAAGGCTGCTTGCATGCGTGGCCCCACGTCTCCCCCTACCTGCATGGATGGTGGCAAGGGAGCGATCGATGCATGCATGGAATGGACCATGGCATATGGGCGGCATGCGTGCCTGCGTAGCATGTGGGAATGACGGTTGCATGGGGTGTGAGCATGGGGTGTGAGCATGGGGTGTGAGCATGGGGTGTGAGCATGGGGTGTGAGCATGGGGTGTGAGCATGGGGTGTGAGCATGGGGTGTGAGCATGGGGTGTGAGCATGGGTGTGAGCATGGGGTTGTGAGCATGGGGTGTGAGCATGGGGTGTGAGCATGGGGTGTGGAGCATGGGGTGTGGAGCATGGGGTGTGAGCATGGGGTGGTGGGGGTGAGCATGGGGTGTGAGCATGGGGTGTGAGCATGGGGTGTGAGCATGGGGTGTGAGCATGGGGTGTGAGCATGGGGTGTGAGCATGGGGTGTGAGCATGGGGTTGTGAGCATGGGTGTGAGCATGGGGTGTGAGCATGGGGTGTGAGCATGGGGTGTGAGCATGGGGTGTGAGCATGGGTGTGTGAGCATGGGGTGTGAGCATGGGTGTGGGGCAGGGGTGTGAGCATGGGGTGTGAGCATGGGGTGTGAGCATGGGGTGTGAGCATGGGGTGTGAGCATGGGGTGTGAGCATGGGGTGTGAGCATGGGGTGTGAGCATGGGGTGTGAGCATGGGGTGTGAGCATGGGGTGTGAGCATGGGGTGTGAGCATGGGGTGTGAGCATGGGGTGTGAGCATGGGGTGTGAGCATGGGGTGTGAGCATGGGGTGTGAGCATGGGGTGTGAGCATGGGGTGTGAGCATGGGGTGTGAGCATGGGTGTGAGCATGGGGTGTGAGCATCGGGTGTGAGCATCGGGTGTGAGCATGGGGTGTGAGCATGGGGTGTGAGCATGGGGTGTGAGCATGGGGTGTGAGCATGGGGTGTGAGCATGGGGTGTGAGCATGGGGTGTGAGCATGGGGTGTGAGCATGGGGTGTGAGCATGGGGTGTGAGCAGAGCATGGGGTGTGAGCATGGGGTGTGAGCATGGGGTGTGAGCATGGGGTGTGAGCATGGGGTGTGAGCATGGGGTGTGAGCATGGGGTGTGAGCATGGGGTGTGAGCATGGGGTGTGAGCATGGGGTGTGAGCATGGGGTGTGAGCATGGGGTGTGAGCATGGGGTGTGAGCATGGGGTGTGAGCATGGGGTGTGAGCACGGGGTGTGAGCACGGGGTGTGAGCACGGGGTGTGAGCACGGGGTGTGAGCACGGGGTGTGAGCACGGGGTGTGAGCACGGGGTGTGAGCATGGGGTGTGAGCATGGGGTGTGAGCATGGGGTGTGAGCATGGGGTGTGAGCATGGGGTGTGAGCATGGGGTGTGAGCATGGGGTGTGAGCATGGGGTGTGAGCATGGGGTGTGAGCATGGGGTGTGAGCATGGGGTGTGAGCATGGGGTGTGAGCATGGGGTGTGAGCATGGGGTGTGAGCATGGGGTGTGAGCATGGGGTGTGAGCATGGGGTGTGAGCATGGGGTGTGAGCATGGGGTGTGAGCATGGGGTGTGAGCATGGGGTGTGAGCATGGGGTGTGAGCATGGGGTGTGAGCATGGGGTGTGAGCATGGGGTGTGAGCATGGGGTGTGAGCATGGGGTGTGAGCATGGGGTGTGAGCATGGGGTGTGAGCATGGGGTGTGAGCATGGGGTGTGAGCATGGGGTGTGAGCATGGGGTGTGAGCATGGGGTGTGAGCATGGGGGGGGTGTGAGCATGGGGTGTGAGCATGGGGTGTGAGCATGGGGTGTGAGCATGGGGTGTGAGCATGGGGTGTGAGCATGGGGTGTGAGCATGGGGTGTGAGCATGGGGTGTGAGCATGGGGTGTGAGCATGGGGTGTGAGCATGGGGTGTGAGCATGGGGTGTGAGCATGGGGTGTGAGCATGGGGTGTGAGCATGGGGTGTGAGCATGGGGTGTGAGCATGGGGTGTGACGGGGTGTGAGCACGGGGTGTGAGCACGGGGTGTGAGCATGGGGTGTGAGCATGGGGTGTGAGCATGGGGTGTGAGCATGGGGTGTGAGCATGGGGTGTGAGCATGGGGTGTGAGCATGGGGTGTGAGCATGGGGTGTGAGCATGGGGTGTGAGCATGGGGTGTGAGCATGGGGTGTGAGCATGGGGTGTGAGCATGGGGATGAGCATGGGGTGTGAGCATGGGGTGTGAGCATGGGGATGAGCATGGGGTGTGAGCATGGGGTGTGAGCATGGGGATGAGCATGGGGTGTGAGCATGGGGATGAGCATGGGGTGTGAGCATGGGGTGTGAGCATGGGGATGAGCATGGGGTGTGAGCATGGGGTGTGAGCATGGGGGTGAGCATGGGGTGTGAGCATGGGGTGTGAGATTAATTATGGGCATTGGGTGTGAGCATGGGGGGAAATTGCAGAGCTGATATGAGATTGAGTTCACCTGAGGCACAAATCGGAGGGAGGTGGAGGATGGCAGCAGCTGCTGCATCCACCGTCGGATCTCGCCTTCATCCGACGGCTCAGTGAAGAAGATGAAGACATGCGTGGATGCGTGCCTGCCTGCCACACCACAGCACCGGCTGATCATGATGAACATCACAGCCGTGACTGATCAAACTGAAGATTACAGATATCTACGGCACCGCAATGGTCGCATTGAGCATGGCATGAGCCACGAGATTGCGGCAGCATCATCCTCAGACATGCACTCGGTGCGACCATAAATGTATCTGAGTCACTCTTGAGAATTCTAAAAAAGGACTCGGCTGGACGTCACGCTGTAATAGCCCCGTACTCGCCAGAAGCCCTGCGCCTCGCTATAGTCACGTACAGCTCGGGGCAGCGCTCGATATTGGCGAAGACGTGTCCGCATCACGCGTGGTAAAAGGCGACCTTTGAGTCGACTTATCAGTCACCTCGCTATAGTCACGTACAGGTCGGGGCAGAGCACGACCCTGGTGACGACGTGCTCGCAGCACGCGCGGTAGAAGTCGCACGCCGCGTCCGCCCCCACACCGGCCGCCAGGCGCGTCTTCACGCGCCCCGGAGCCGGCCGCTTCACGAAAATCATCACCGCCTGCTGCGCGCCGAGCGGCTCCGCTGCTTGACTCGCCGCCGCACTCGCTTCCCTCGTGTCACTTATACTCACATTAGGGTCGCTCATTCTAGTGTCGCACACTCTAGAATCGCCCATACTGCTGGCGTCGCACACTCCAGCGTCGCTCATTCGCTCAGGCTCGCTCTGGGAGATTTAAGAGACTGAGGCGATTGAGAGAACGACGGTGTCTTTGTCCTAAAACAGCTATGGCGATTCCCTGGCTGCGGATGTGGCAGTCACGCAGTACGGGTAGGCAATCGTTGAGTGGCGAGAAGGATCGACAAGTGTACAACTGAGCTGAGCTGACGTGTCGATCGGATATGAACGTGTAGGCGCCTTGTGATTTGGCCGCGAATTCGAACAGATCGACTGGTCAACGGCCCTGACAGGGAAGGAAGCCAAGGTTGAGCAGCTTGGAGGGAAAAGAAAGGAATAGGCGAAAGGTGTGTTTGAGTGCGGTTCAGTGAGATGCTTTACGTTCTACAGCTGGGCAGACACGCCCCTTGTGCATTCTCTTCGCATTTCCCCATTCGGTCTCGTCGCCAATCTCGCGATATTCTTGAAGGTGCTCGTACGCCAATGGGCGTCGAGGTTTTTCCTAGTCGTCCAATGGGATCATGGCTTTGGAACACCGACGCTCGTACTTCCCGAGAATTAGATTGACGACAGAGAGCGAACGTCGCGAGCGCAAAAGAGGGTGATCCGTTGGCGGGCTACCAGACAACCAGATCTCCGCTGTGGCGCGCAGCAGCGGCGGAGGGAAATCCGCAGCACAGCACAGCATTGTTGAAATGAATAGCTCACCTGATCTGGTTGCTAGGCTTCAGATCAGGAAGTTCCAGTGAAGCAGAGATTCACAAATTCCTTGTTTTCGCCACGTCGTAGTGCTTCGAGCATAGATCACGACAAGGTAGTTGGCGCATACTATCGCATACTGTCGCATACTATTGTACTATCGTCCAATTGCCATGAGCGAGAGCAGCGCGGCGACGGCCACGGCGACAGCGGCAGGCGTCAGCCTGAAGCAGCGCCGGACAGCGGCCGACGCATCGCAGCCGTCCGTCGCGCCGGACGCCGGCAACGCGATTAAAAATACCGACGCGTTGAAGGACAAGGCGAAGCCACGTGGCGCGTCGCCGCGCCGGCGGTCCGGCTGGCTCGTGCTGGTGCTCGTGGTTCTGGTGGCGGCAGCGGCGGGCGCGGGTTATTATTTGTGGCGGGAATACAGCGAGTATAGCGTGATTGAAGACGAGGAGTTCGAGAGCGAGCCGCCCGTCGAGAAGGCCGCGACGCGGTCCAACCCGCGGAAAGCCCAATGGCAAGCCGATGTGAGTCGCTGCATTTCGTCTCTGGATACGACGGCGATGCGCGCCGCCGAGTCGCTGAGTGCGTCCCAAGGCTGGCGACAAGTGCCTGCGATCCGTTATTGTCTACCCATCCATTCTCGTAGTGTGCGTCTCATCGTGTTCTTCGTTCCTAGATCCCCCAACAGGGATATACATCCTCTGCGCGTGCGTCTCATACGTGACGCATCGCACACACGTACTGCTCTGTCAGCTGACCCGATGCACGATGCTTCTCACCCCCATCCGCCGCTTCCCATCGCGCGATTGCATGATGTGCCTCACTTCGATTGTCACCGACTCGATTGTCACCGACTCGATTGTCACTGACTCGATTGTCACTGACTCGATTGTGACTGTCCCGCTAGTGACTGTATCGAGTATAGCAGAAGCCATGGAGCGCGGAGGAACCGGCCAAGTGCATCTGGTCACAGAAGGGCCTTCCGCTGCTTCCCATGCCCATGCCCTGCCCCCTCGCATCCCATGCCTCACTGCCTCCATTGTGACTGTCTCATTTGCGACTCTCGTTTATGAATGTATCGAGTGTAACAGAAGCTGTGGAGCGCGGAGGAGCTGGCCAAGTACAACGGGTCGACAAAGGGCCTTCCGCTGCTGCTGGTCATTCTGGGGTGAGCGGGGCCTTGGATTAGTCATAGGTATGCGTGGATGAAAGGGGAGTGCCCAGGCGAGGGCGAGCGCAGTGTGGGCAGGCTATGCTAGGTTGAGTAAAGAGTGGGAGCTGTTAGATGCCCCCTATGGGGTGTGTAAATGGGTGCTGTTAAGGTAAGTTCAGGTCTCATGGCGTTGCCATGCCCACTGCTCCATGCCCAATGCCCAATGCCCACTGCCCCATGCTCCATGTCCCATGCTTGATGCCCCATGCCCCATGCGTCATGCCCCGTCCACCATGCACCTTGCCCGGGATGTGCTTGACGTGACCAAGCACAAAGTGCATTCCTGTTGGCCCATGCCTCATACCCATACCCCATACCCCATAGCCAATACGCCATACCCCATACCCCATAGCCCATACCCCATAGTCCATACGTCATACCCCATACCCCATTGCCCATACGCCATACCCCATAGCCCATACGCCCTACCCCATACCCCATAGCCCATACGTCATACCCCATAGCCCATACGCCATACCCCCATAGCCCATACGCCATACCCCATACCCCATAGCCTATACCCCATACCCCATACCCCATAGCCCATACGCCATACCCCATACCCCATAGCCCATACGCCATACCCCATACCCCATAGCCTATACCCCATACCCCATAGCCCTTACGCCATACCCCATACCCCATACGCCATACCCCATACCCCATACGCCATACCCCATACCCCATAGCCCATACGCCACACCCCACACCCCGTACCCCACACCCCGTACCCCACACCCCATGCGTGCAGGGACGTGTTTGACGTGACCAAGGGCAGGAAGCACTACGGCAAGGGGCAGGGGTACAACCACTTCGCTGGCAGGTCAGTTAAACCGCTCTCTGCACCGAACATGCTTGGAACATACTTGGAACATGCTTGGAACATGCTTGGAACATGCTTGGAACATGCCTGGAACATGCTTGGAACATGCCTGGAACATGCCTGGAACATGCCTGGAACATGCTTGGAACATGCTTGGAACATGCCTGGAGCAATCTTACACTGAATTCGAAGCATCTGCTGGTGCGCTGGACGCAGTTTCCAGGCCACTGCGTGCTGCTGCTGCTCCAGTGGCTGTTGCTGTCAGCCGCTGCCACTGCCTGCCTCTGCCTCCCTTCTTCTTCCCTGCTCTCTACCCCTTTCCCCATTCGGCAACCTTTTTTCACACCGTCTCTCACTCCTCCTCCACGCTCCTCTCTCACACTTTCCCCCTCACTCACACCTCCCCCTCTCCCTCACGGCCCCCCCCGTCTGCATGATTCTCTTCTCACAGGGATGCCACGAGGGCATTCGTCTCAGGCAATTTCTCAGGTATGTTGGGCCATACCATGCCATGCCATACCATGCTATACCATGCCATACCATGCCATGCCATGCCATACCATGCTATACCATGCCATACCATGCCATGCCATGCCATATCATGCTATACCATGCCATACCATGCCATGCCATGCCATACCATGCTATACCATGCCATACCATGCCATGCCATGCCATGCCATGCCATGCAATGCCATCATAGCATACGATACCATTCCATAAGAAACCATACCAAAATATTTCAGATCGTACCATACCATGCCAGACTGTGCCATGATGTAGCATGCCACGCACGCATGTGTGGTAAGCCTTCGTCCTATTCAGTCTGAGCTCCCTTGTCCGTAGCTGACCATCCATCATCCTCCAACACCGCATGGCACCACATGACACCACGTGGCACCACAGGTACACACACCCTCCCTTTCCCCAACCTCTCCCTCCCATGTCAACCCCTTTCCACCCCTTCCCATCCCTCGCGCCCTTGCAGGTGACGGCTTAACGGACGACCTGACGGGGCTGTCAGGGGAGCAGTGCATCGGCATCGCTGACTGGCGGGACTTCTACTTCAAAACCTACATGTGAGAAGGACTTGCAGTGCAAGAAGATATTTTGGAGACATTAAAAAAAAGGCTGCATGTGAGAAGGGGTTTCCAGTACATGAGGCGATCACGTGCGTGCGTTGGGGCTCAGCACCCCACCCACTGTCTGTGGCTGGGTGTGACAAGAATGCAAGCAAGGAACAGCCAGCCTGTCAGGCGAGCAGTGCATTGGCATTGCTGACTGCCGCAAATCCTACTTGAAGACATACATACATGTGCTTCAATCCTACAACTCTCACCTTACATGTCCCACTCTCCCTCCCAGGTGTTTAGCCTTTGCATGATCACCCTCTGCATGATCACCCTCTGCATGATCACCCTCTGCATGACCACCCTCTGCATGACCACCCTCTGCATGACCACCCTCTGCATGATCACCCTCTGCATGACCACCCTCTGCATGATCACCCTCTGCATGATCACCCTCTGCATGACCACCCTCTGCATGACCACCCTCTGCATGATCACCCTCTGCTTGACCACCCTCTGCATGATCACCCTCTGCATGATCACCCTCTGCATGATCACCCTCTGCATGATCACCCTCTGCATGACCACCCTCTGCATGACCACCCTCTGCATGACCACCCTCTGCATGATCACCCTCTGCATGACCACCCTCTGCATGATCACCCTCTGCATGATCACCCTCTGCATGACCACCCTCTGCATGACCACCCTCTGCATGATCACCCTCTGCTTGACCACCCTCTGCATGATCACCCTCTGCTTGACCACCCTCTGCATGATCACCCTCTGCATGATCACCCTCTGCATGATCACCCTCTGCATGATCACCCTCTGCATGACCACCCTCTGCATGATCACCCTCTGCATGACCACCCTCTGCATGACCACCCTCTGCATAACCACCCTCTGCATGATCACCCTCTGCATGACCACCCTCTGCATGACCACCCTCTGCATGATCACCCTCTGCATGATCACCCTCTGCATGACCACCCTCTGCATGACCACCCTCTGCATGATCACCCTCTGCATGACCACCCTCTGCATGACCACCCTCTGCATGATCACCCTCTGCTTGACCACCCTCTGCATGATCACCCTCTGCATGATCACCCTCTGCATGACCACCCTCTGCATGACCACCCTCTGCATGATCACCCTCTGCTTGACCACCCTCTGCATGATCACCCTCTGCTTGACCACCCTCTCACAAGCCCCTTGCATCGCACTCTCGTCTCGTGTACCTTCCACCTTCCTCCATCCCATCTGTCTCTCACCCCTGCGGCATCAGTCACGTGGGAAGCAGGACGGGCGACGGGTGCTCTTGGGAAAAAAAATCACCCTCTGTCTCTCGTTTCTGCTTGTCTTTCCTTTCCTTTCCTTTCCTTTTCCTTTCTCTTTTCCTTTCCTTGCCTTTCCCTGCCACCAGCCACGTGGGCAAGCTGGTGGGGCGGTTTTATGACGAGCAGGGGAAGGCAAGAGATGCGCTGGGCGAGTTTGACGAGCTGCTGAAGGAGGGCAAGCGGCTGAGAGACGTGGCCAAGGTGGCTGAGAAGAAATACCCCGGCTGCAACTCGCGGTGGGCTCAGAACGAGGGCGGCAAGGTGAGGCCTCTCCCTCCCTACTACAACCCTCTCTCCGCTCCTCTCACCCCTCTTCTCATAAGTTGGCCCTGGCTTCCCTCCAGAGGCGGAGGGCAGGCAGGTGGGGGGACGGTTTTGAGGGAAATCTTGGAACATTATTGCGCTGTGCGTGCCTCACCTTGTGATGCCTCCTCGTTCCCCCCTGACCTCGCCATCATACCGTCATCCCTCCATCCCTTCCCTTCACCCAACTCTCCTCCATGTGTGATGTGACAGTGAGTTCTCCTGGAGGAGAGTTCCCCTGAATCGCAGAGGCGGAGGGCGGGCCAGTCAGGGGCAGGGAGGACACGCGCTGTGCGTGTGTGTGTCCCCATTTCTCCTTCCCTTCTTTCTAACAATCGCCTCTATACGTTCATCCCTCCACCCCTCTACCCTCCCTCTCTCCCTCTCTTTCCCCAGGTGTGGTGTGACAGTGGTGTCCCCCGTAAAATTCCCCGAATCCCAGAAGCGGAGGGGGACCAGTGGGGGTCAGTGAAAACACGCGCTGCGTGTGCTCTAACCTCCTCAGTCTTTCCTCTCCCCCGTCATCCCCTCCATCTCTCTCTCCCGCTCTCCCAGGTGTGGTGTGACAGTGGTGTGCCGCGTAAAATCCCCCGAATCCCAGAGGCCGAGGGAGGCCCGGTGGGGGGCAGTGAGGACACGCGCTGTGCGTGCTTCACCAAGGACCAGCTCACCTCGCGCTCAGACCTTCAGGAGTACGATGGGTGCGACCCTGCCAAGTGCGTCACTCCTCTCCCTCCACATCCTCCTTCCTCCATCCCTCTATCCTTCCCCTCTCCCTCTCGCCCTCTCTCCCAGGTGTGGTGTGACTCTGGTGTCCCTCGCAAGATCCCCCGAATCCCCGAGGCAGAGGGCGGGCCAGTGGGGGGCAGTGAGGACACGCGCTGTGCGTGCTTCACCAAGGAGCAGCTCGCCTCGCGCTCCGACCTTCAGGAGTACGATGGGTGCGACCCTGACGCCACCAAGTGCATCTCCTCCCCTCCTGAAGACCCCAATGCTGCCTCTCTAGGGGATGGGGGTGAGGAGGAGGAGGAATGAAGAGAGTGAGGCAGCCGGGGGTTGGGTGGGGTGGGGAGTGGGGGTGCGGTTGCAGTGTGGGATGCAGGGAGATGGAGGGAAGGGGGGGACAGTGTGGGATGCAGGGAGGGGGGGAAAGGGGGCTGGCAGTGGGGAATGCACCCAGGAGCAGCTCGCCTTGTGTAGGGTTGGGATGACCCTGGTGTCACCGAGTGTGTCTCTTCCCCTCCTGAAGACCCCAATGCTGGGAGGATGGGAGCAAGGAGGATGAGGAATGAGGGGCAAGCAACGGAGAGCAAGGGCTGGTAGTGCTGTGGCTGAAGGAGTGGGGCAAGAGAGGGGCGAAGGCAGGATGGGCGGACAGAGAACTCCAGAGTAGGATAGGATGCTTGGCATGAGAATAGTTGCATGAGAGTAGTACCACTATGCTAGTTCATGTTTTGATACTTGCAATATTGAGGAGGCTATACAGTTAAAGAGATGTTGTTAATGACTATAGTGTATGCAGTGCAGGGTATGCTGTAATGATTTGCTTTGTTATGCAGTAGCATGTAACCCGTCCCTGCGATCAACATTCGTTGGCTGCACTCATGGTTGAAGAACCATTCAGCCAGTGGGAACCTTGCACACAGACAGTCTCATGCTAAAATCCTCCGGATAAAAGACCCTAGGGTCCTAAGTAAATCCCCTTGTAAAAAGGAAGGGGGGTCTTAACAAACAAAACAAAATATACTAGCGGGGGGTGTCCTATTTTGGAGGGGGCTTATATCCGGGGGATTGCGGTAACAAAGATTCGTGCTCATACCATTACTCTGCATTGCCACTTGCAAAATTTGGAAATGCCAAGTCTACCCCAAAATCAGTAGGATTTTGATAGAAAACGAGTTGCAGTGTGTAAAGGCATGTTGTTAAGCGACAGGATCAGCTGTACCAAAATTCGCTCAAGGGGTTTGGCTCATGCCCCCCATCTGCGCTACGGTATCTCTCTCTTCCCCCTTCTCCCCCTCCCCGGCCTCTCCCTTGCCTCCCTCCCTCCCACCACCAGCCATTTCCACCCACTGCACGCCACCCCCCATCGGACCTCCTACTGCTGCGTCACCTCCTCCCACCCACCTGCTCAACCCTCGTACCAAATCTCACTTGCCTTTCTCCCTTTCCCCTGCACCTCTTGTACCACCCTCACTCCCTCCACCAGCCATTTCCAGCCGCTGTGCTGCTGCCACTCGCCGTCTAAACTCCTCCTGTCGCTGCTTCACCTCCTCCTCGCGCACCTCCCCAGGTTCCAACGTTATACCGTCCCTCACCCCCCTTTCTCCCCCTCAACCACGCCTCCCATGCCTCCCTCCCTACCCCCACCAGCCATTTCCAGCCGCTGTGCGTCTGCCACTCTCCGTCTGAATTCCTCCTGCCTTTGCTTCACCTCATCCTCTCCTAGCCACTTGTTCCATTCCCGTGCCGTGCCACCCTCATTCGCCCTTTTCCCGCCCCTCTGCACCTCCCATGCCAGCATCCCTACCCCCACCAGCCATTTCCAGCCGCTGTGCCGCCGCCACTCTCCGTCTGAACTCCTCCTGCCGCTGCTTCACCTCTTCCTCACCTAGCCGCCTCACAGGAAGCCACTCTGGCCACTCCCACCGCCCTCCTGCCTTCGCCGCCACCTGCTCGCCCCGCTCCCCCACGCCTCCCATGAGAGGTGATGCTCCAGTGGTTGCTGTGCGTTCACGCGTCCCATCCGTTACAGTCACACGCCCGTCTGTGTCTGTTGCCATGTGGGCATGGGAGGCAGGAGCGCCGGCAGTTACACCCCCATCTCTGTCTGTTGCCATGTCTGCATGGGGGGAGTGAGGGCTGGCAGTGTGTTCAGCCGCGCGGGCAGCCATGAGCTGCTGAATGCGCCACTCCTTGAAAGTTTCCACTGCTGCCCGGTGCCCTGCCCCGGCCAGGCCAAACATTACAGCTGCCCGGATGGCGATGTCTCGGCTGCCTGGAGGACAGAGAAGAGGAGGGAAAATGCAACAGGGGAGGGCAGAAGGCGTAAGAGAAAGCATGGGGATTCCTCTGCTGCCCTGTATGTCACCACCCCTCTGACTGCACCAACACATACTCGTGTCTTCCCAGCCACCCCACTTCTCCCACCCCTTCACACCACTCCCAACCTCCCCTTCACACCACTCCCAACCTCCCCTTCCCACCACAACAACCTCCCCTCCACACCACTCCCAACCCAACCAACCCACCTTGCAGGCGGCCAAAGAGTGCCCCAGCCAGAGCGGCCCCCAGCAGCCCGTTGGTGGGATCAGACAGAGGCCAGGGAAGGAAAAGCGCACCTCTCTCGCCCTTCCCATCCCTCCCACTGCTCACCTCGCAGGCGGCCAAACAGCGCTCCAGCGAGAGCGCCCCCCAGCAGCCCGTTGGTGGGGTCGGAGGCCAGAGAGAATCGCACCTCCCTCACTGCCTCCTCCAGACCTGAATGGGGGAAGGAGGGACGAGGGGCACGGGGCAAGGGAGAGGTTAGATGAAAGGGAGGAGGACGGAGGGGCGCACGGGGTAGAGGTGGGGTCGGACGCCAGAGGGGATCGTACCTCCCTCACTGCCGTAGCAACAAGGAGAGGATGAGAGGTAGGGCGTAGGGTACTGTATCTTTAGGGTTTTGAAAAGTCTCAGGAGTGGGGAAATAGGGTTGGGGGGGGGAACAGGAAACACGCGCACAGTACCTGCCACACACTCTACCTGCGACTCAGAATGCTGAGTAATGCAGCAGTTGCACACATGAGACGTGAACCGCACATATCGCCTACCTCCCACATACACACCATACCATACCCCACATATTACCTTCCCCACGTCCTACCTGCCACACAGAAAGCAGCGATGCAGCAGTTGCTGGTGACAGCAGCTACTGCTGCTGCTGCTAGGGTTGCCCCCCCTGCTGGTGCTGCCATGCCACCTTCCCACCCTACCTGCCCCACACCCTAACTGCCACACACCCTAACTGCCCCACACACAACCTCCCCCACACACAACCTCCCCCACACACTACCTCCCCCACACACAACCTCCCCCACACACAACCTCCCCCACACACTACCTCCCCCACACACTACCTCCCCCACACACTACCTCCCCCACACACTACCTCCCCCACACACTACCTCCCCCACACACTAGCTGCCCCACACAGTACCTGCCACACAGAAAGCAGCGATGCAGCAGTTGCTGGTGACAGCAACGATCGCTGCTGCTGGCTGTGCTGCCCCCACTGCTGCTGCTGCTGCTGCTGCTGCTGCTTCCTCACACACTACCTAACCCACACACACTACCTAACCCACACACACTACCTCCCCCACACCTTACCCGCCACACAGAAAGCAGCGATGCAGCAGTTGCTGGTGACAGCAACGATCGCTGCTGCTGGCGGTGCTGCCCCCACTGCTGCTGCCGCCATGCCTCCTGCCATTCCCAACACAGCTGACACAGAGAGATGGGGAGGAGTAAAGAAAGTTCTTCTTTGGTGGCTGGACACTCAGTGCTGCTAGCGGTGCTGCCTCCACCCCAAAGTCAAGAGGCAGAGACTCTGAGGCGCCTCCAACGTCAGTGCTGCTGGCAGTTGTGGCACCGCTGCTGCCGCCACACCACCCGCGCTTCCCAGCATGGCTGGCAGGGTCGGCAGAGGGAAGGAGACATGCTGGAGCTTAAGCGCAAATCCGGTTTTAACAAGTATTAATAACAACTGCCTCCGTTTACAAGTGCACCTCCAGTGGCCGTGGCTGACTGAGTCGACACAGAAGTCACCACCTCTCACCAACGCACCTCCGTCCCCGTCGCGCACCAACGCACCTCCGTCCCTGTCGCACACCAACGCACCTCCGTCCCCGTCGCACACCAATGCACCTCCGTCCCCGTCGCACACCAACGCACCTCCGTCCCCGTCGCACACCAACGCACCTCCGTCCCCGTCGCACACCAACGCACCTCCGTCCCCGTCGCACACCAGCATACCTCCAGTGGCAGTGGTCGACAGCACGCGGGCCTTCCACGCGCGCCCCTCGTTGTACCCCTCGGGGCGACCGCCGCCCGCCATGCCGCGAGGACGCGAGCCACGCGGAGGAGCAGAGCGCGCCGAGTGCTTAACGTGCCAGTCACTTTCCACGACTGGTGCAATCGAGTGCACCACGTCGCGGCGCGGAAACGTTTACTTCGTATCGCGAAATTCACGAGCCGCTCGACTCAACAGCGGTCACGCAGCAGCTGATTCAATCCTAGCCGTACGTTGAAAGCCTTAGAAATGAGATTCTAGACGAAGGATCCGAAACCCCTCGCAATGCGGCCCAATGAGAATTGAGGACGGCGATGCTCCCAAGGAGGCAATTCGCTGACGGTGAGCACGGGGACGGAATGCGGCTCGGATCTACGATGATCCCTGTGGGGACAGAATAATCGACTGATGATACATGAAAAGCTCCGCTGTTGGTGAAGGCTGATCAGGCTTGGGCGATTACCTCGAGAAAATTTCCTAGTTTCCGTTCCTCCACAATTGAGAGTGGTGTTTTCGAGTCTAAACCCCTGGGATCACCCCAACCGGGGTCAGATTTCGTTTGAGGTTCGATCTTGTTGTCCAAAGTTCGACCTAGAAGGGTCGTTTTGAACCGTTTCATTTTGAGGATCCGTTTTTGGATCTAGAAGTTCCACACTCGACGACAATGGACCGAGATAAGCGAAAGTTTGTAGCAGAGGTAACTTGTAGAATGACCCCTGATTTCCCTGTGGCGAGAAATTTGCAACAAGGAAACGGGAAACGCCCCAGGTCCCCCAGCTCGTGTTTGCTATAGTTTTTGCATGTGAACCAGTTACATGATCTGAGTAACAGGGTCTTGGGACGGAAGGATGAGTAGAACAATGCGCTTTAGTAGTAGCGTCTTGTGAGAATCGCATCGCTACCGTTTTCTACTCGCGAGTAATTTCCAGGTTTTAAACGAAACGCAGAAGGCGGCAAAACGAGTTGTTTGGAGGCGAAGCGGCCTTTTTTTCGTGGAGAAAATTATCCCTCGTGCCCGCGTCTACCGCGTTTGAAGCGGGTCGTTTCTTCAGGCGCTGACCGTTTCGTTGCCCGCACGCCCTCCGCGCTTACAGCATCCGCGAGCCGCGTTCTGCGCGCCTCGCCATTTCGCGCCATGGCTCCGGTGAGATGCGCCCCTCGCCGCTTCCTCGCTTACATGGGCTCCCTTCCTCCGCCATTCCGCTTGCGTAGCCGCACATTCTCGCTCGCGCGCGTCCTGTCCGCGCCTTCCATCCCGCCAATCAAAGGAAAAGCCCCGCCGCCTCGCCTCAGAGGGCGCAGCAGGAGCGGCGCTACCATAACCCTCATCCCCCCTCCGTACTTTCCCCCTTTCCCGCTCTTCTTACTTTCCCCCTTTTCCCCTCTTTTTACCTTCCCCCCTTTCCCCCTTGCCAAGTAGCTGCGCATGTTAAGCTTGATCTCTTTCCCCCCATCCCCCCATCCCTTCCCCCCCTCAACAATCCCACACACTCCCCCTCCCGCCCCCCTTCCTGAACCTAGTGGGAGGCGTGGGAGTGGGTGCGGGATGCTTGGGGCGGCTGCAATTTCACTCCAATTGCTAGGCGCTCAAAAAGTAGACTCCACGCCCTCCTTTCTCATACCTTTCGCCCCCCTCTCCTCCTCCTTTCCCACGCTCTCCCACCTCCCCGGCCTTCCTCCCTCCCCACTCCCCCACCAGCCCATCTCCCCCAAGTGGCTGCCCATGTATCGGTGGCTTGCCTCCCTTCCCCCCACCACACCCACCCTTGCGGCATGGGAGGTGCGGCAGTGGGTGCAGCAGGAGTGGGCGCGACTACCCCTAGAGCTCAGACGCACTCCCATGCAGCGCATAGTGCAGTACACTGTTACCGCTTTCCACCGCATTAAACACCAGGGGGGGCTGGGGATTGCGGGTGAAGGGATGGTGCAGGGAGAGGGGTCGGTGGGGGGAGAGGAGGGGGAAGAGGATGTGGTGGGAGATTGGGATGGGAGGGGGAGGGAGGCAGGGAGGGGAAGAGATGGAGGGAGGAGGAGAGATGGAGGGAGTGGGGGAGACAGAGGGATGGGGAGAGGGGCAGAGAGGAGAAGAGGGGCAGGGGTTGGAGCAGAGAGGGCCCACTACGATGAGTGTCGGAGCAGCGGAAAGAGAGGAGATGGGGAGGAGGGGGAGGAGGAGGGGGACGAGGATGGGGAAGGAGAGGAGGTGGGAGAAGAGCGGAGGGGAGGAGAGGGAGACGCTGGGAGGCGCAGGAGGCGGGGAGGAAGAATGGCAACATACACAGAGGTGAGATGAGGTGGGGTGGGGTGAAGTGAGGTGTGGTTATGTGAGGTGACTCACCTTGATTGCACCCTCACTGCAACCTCGCTCCACCCTCATTCCCAAGCTGGATGTGTGTGTTGTGTGGGCACGGTTCTACCGTATATAGGTTTGGGAGTTGCATGACTGACGTGACGGTTTGGCCGAGTGGTCTAAGGCGCTGGATTTAGGCTCCAGTCTTGAAAAAGGCGTGGGTTCAAATCCCACAGCCGTCACTACGTTGTGAGTTCGAGTGGCTCCACATTTTGGTCGTTCTGAGAGTCAGTCCGCCAAAAAAAAAAACTTTTCTGTGTTGGCACCTGTAACATTTTTGACAGCCTGTTCAAATTACCTTCCGTTCCCCCCCTATCCCTGCTATTTTCCCGTCTCCCTTTACTCCTCGTCCTCCGTATCTCCCTATCTCCCCTATACCCCCTTCTGCCTTCCAGCATCCCATGAAAAAGCGAAGGGCAATGGAAGCAGCTGTGGGAGGGGAGGCAGGCGAGGCCCAGGAGGTGGGGCGCATGGTGCAGCAGCAGCACTGCGCTCTCGTGAATCACTTCAACAGGTGCGCGAAGTGTATCTGAGACGTGTGATAGATAAAGCATTTACTGTTGCTGGTTGGAGGCACCTGCGTGGGAGCAACTGTGGAAGGGAAGGCAGCAGACGCACAGGAGGTGGGCCGCATGGTGCAATAGCAGCACTGCGTTCTCGTGAACCACTTCAACAGGTGGGCTGCGTGAGACATGTGATAGAGCCTTCACTGTTGTTGATCGGCCAATCTCGGAGTTGCTTCTGAGAAGTCTCAGAAGTAACTTGAACAGGTAGGCTGCATGAAACATGTTTTGAGTCGACTCAACGATCGGCCAATCTCGGAGTTGCTTCTGAGAATTCGCAGAAGCAACTTCAACAGGTGGGCTGCGTGAAACATCTGATGGAGCCTTCACTGTTGTTGATCGGTCAATCTTCTTAAACCTTCATCCATGCAATCTGTCGTCTCCTCCTTCCTCCCGCCCCTATTTGTACGCGCCTCATTAATGGAGCCTTCACTGTTGTGGATCAGCCAATTCTCTTAAAACTCCACCCATGCCATCTCTCGTCTCCTCCTTCCTCCCGCCCCTGCGCGCCCTTCTTCCCTCCAAGCCGCATGGCACACTGCAGCGTCGCGTGGCTACAGGGTGGCAGTGGGGCGGGCTCGATGATGGGGTCGGGGGCCGAGAGATGGAACACAGTGATTTCTCCTCTATCCAGCTGTGCCCATTTTCTCCTCTCACGTTCCCTCCCAGATCCCCTTTCCTCACACTTGCCGTACCCCTCCCCTCCCAGCCTCGTGTTGATGCAGCGCCACCTGCTGCTGCTGCAGGGATGCAGTGGGAGGGAGGAGAAGGGACGAGGGGCACAGAGAAGGGCTGTAATGAGCTCTCTCTATCCTGATATCCTTACTTTCCTACTCACATTTCGTTCCTTATTCCATTTTCCTGCCAGCTTTGCATTGCTGCAGCGACACCTGCTGCTGTTGCCGGGAGGCAGCAGAGAGAGAAGGGACGAGCGGCAGAGAAAAAGACCGCAGTGATTCCTCTTCTCACATTCCGCCCTTTAATTCCATTCTCTCACTTTTCTTGGGCCCTCCCCTGCCAGCCTCGTGTTGCTGCAGTACCACCTGCCGCTGCTGCTGCAGGGAGGCAGCGGGGGGATGAGTGACGATGGGCAGAGAAAAAGACTGCTGTGATTCCTCTTCTCACATTCCGCCCTTTAATTCCGTTCTCTCACTTTTCTTGGGCCCTCCCCTGCCAGCCTCGTGTTGCTGCAGTACCACCTGCCGCTGCTGCTGCAGGGAGGCAGCGGGGGGATGAGTGACGATGGGCAGAGAAAAAGACTGCTGTGATTCCTCTTCTCACATTCCATCACTTATTCCCTTCTCTCACTTCTTTTGCCCCCTCCCCTGCCAGCCTCGTGTTGCTGCAGCGCCACCTGCTGCTGCTGCAGGGAGGCAGCGGGGAGAGAACGGACAACCAGAGCTTGGGTCAAGGGTATAGGGGCCGGGAAGATGGGGATAAGGGGAAGATGGAGGAAGGGGGTCAGGGGGAGGAGGAGCAAGAGGGTAAGAGGGGTGAAGAGCAGCAGAGTGTGGGGCAGGGGGGACAAGAAAGTAAGGGACAGGAGGAAGAGAATGGAGAAGGGAAGAGGGGTGGTGAGGGAGGGGATTGTGACAACAAGCAGACAAGTGCTGTGAGACGCCACGAGTTTGTGCCTCCATGGAAGCCCCCTTTCGCCCCCCACCACTGCTCGCAAATGGTTGGAGGGCGCGAGGTCGGGGGTAAGCGACAGGGAGAGAGGCAGGAACAAAAGGGTACGCTGGTGGGGGCATTTGAGTTGGGGATGGTGGCACGTACCCCAGAGGTGAGTCAGGAGCGGATGATGGGGGGCTATCCTCGCCGGGGAGGGGTTGAGGGGCGCGGTGTGGGGAGGAAGAGGGGGGAAGGCCAGGGGCCAGAGGTTACGCTAGAGGCGTGGGTGGTGTGCAGTGTTGACAATCACCGGCGTGACTTTAAGGGGGGAAGGAGCGGTGATGAGGGATCCAGGGAGGTGTGTGGGGGTGCGGGGAGAGGCAGGCGAGGAGGTGGGGAGATGGCTGGGCGCGGTTTGGGCAGGCAGGCTGTGATGGGAGAGGATGAGACACAGGAAGAGGAAGAGGAGGACGAGGCTGAGGAGGAGGTGAAGCAGCACCGGGGGAAGGGAACGGGGAACAGAGGGAGGGAGATTGTTGGGGAAGAGACGAAGAAAGGGGGTTCTAGGGAGGCGGGTGTGAGTGGAGCGTTGAGGGCGAGGGAGTGTGGGCGGGGGTACAGACGGCAAGCAGATTGTGGGGAGAGCGGAGGGGCGGGCAGCAGAGGGAGGTGGATGCGGGCTAAGAGCGCTCAGAGTTACAAGGCTGTTTGGACAGGTGAGGTGGGGTGGGGTGTGTCTGTGCCGCTGCGATGCATCTGCTGCTGTTCTTCACTGTCCATGGCTTGCCAACGGGGGCTCTTCCATATCCTGCTGTCGTGGCTTTTCCTGTGCGGTGCTGTGCTTTGCGGTGTGGTGCTCTGCTTTGTGGTGCGGTGCTGGGCTGATCTGGCAGGATGGGGATCTCTGGACAACCCTCGTCGAGGCCTGGGGTCGGTGCTCTGCCAATCACGTGGTGACACGTGGCGTCCTACCTGGGCCAGCTACACCTCCCATGCTGCTGACGCGCCTACTACTAACATCAGCGATGTGAGATGATGGGCAGATGGTGGGATGGTGGGAAGATGGGAAGATGGGAAGATGGGATGGGGAGATGATGGTATGGTGGGATGGTGGGGTGGTGGGATGGTGGGGTGGTGGGGTGGTGGGATGGTGGGATGGTGGGATGGTGGGATGGTGGGATGGTGAGATGGTGGGATGGTGGGATGGTGGGATGGTGGGATGGTGGGATGGTCCCATGCTGCTGATGCACCCACCACCAACATCATCGATGAGAGATGATGGGGAGATATGATGGGGAGGTGGTAGAATAGTGGGATCGTGGGGTGGTGGGGTGGTGGGATGGCATGTGGCATGGTGGGATGGCATGTGGCATGGTGGGATGGCATGTGGTATGGTGGGAGGGCATGTGGCATGGTGGGATGGCATGTGGCATGGTGGGAGGGTATGTGGGGCTATTCACGCATTCTGGAGTGCCAGCTGCACCTCCCATGCTGCTGACGCTCCCACTACAAACAGAAGAGATTTGAGATGGTGGGCAGATGGTGGAATGGTGGGATGGTGGGAAGATAGGATGGGGAAATGATGGGATGGCTGGATGGTTGGATGGTGGGATGGTGGGATGGCATGTTGGGATAGGCCTTGGTGCAGTGTGTGCCAGTGCCATGTCATATCAGCCAACCAATGGCATGCCATGATGCATCCCGTACCAATGCCACATCAGCACATCTACTTCGTGTCTGCGTGTATGCATGCAATGCAACCAATCGCCAGCTGGCAGTGCAGAAGGTGTTGGATGCGCGTTTCCACCCCAAGGCCCGGCCCCAGCTCGTCATTGGCTGCAACGAGGTGCGTTTTCTCGCCCTTTCTCGACGTTTTTGCGTTTCCTTGCATCCCCTCATGAAGTTTTTGAGTCAGCTCAAACATTGCTTCCACCCCCACGGGCCAGCGCTAGCTCATCATTGGCTGCAACAACGTGTGTGGTGGGTCTCACGTGACAATTGCTTGCAACAGTCGATACAGTTTGTTGGTTTTTTGAGTTCACTCAACTCAACTCGCTTCCACCCCACGGGCCGGCCCCAGCTCGTCATTGGCTGCAACGAGGTGCGCCTATTCTCTCGCTACTGGCTGCAACAATGTGCGTCGTTCCTTGCATTCCCTCCCATCCGTCCCATCCCCTCCCTTTCCTCCCATCTCTTGCCTTCAACGCCGTTCAGTTGCCTCTCTTGACGATTTTTCATGTGCCTTTATTATTGTTGTTGTTCTTGTTTGCTGGGAACGAGTTGAAGGTGATAAGTGACCAGCAAGCGATAATGCAGGTCACGACATGGTCCTTTTGCACGTGCGTCCTTAAAACGGAGTACACATTCAAAACTTGTGGGGGATTGGGGAACAGTAACTTGGGGGGAGGGGCGAAATCTGGCCCGCCAGGATGAAAGCACACCCCGTAACGGGGCATCAAAGGTTAACCCTTGATGCCCACCGAGGTGAATGAGCACCGTGGTTTTAAGCAAACACCGTCGCACATATGATCGTATTGACGGCCCTCGTCTGTTCCCCCTGCCCCCACCAGGCGCCCAACGAGTTGCTTCTCTTTGACCTCTCCTCCGGCTCGCACCGGCCCCTGCAAGGCCACGCCTGCCAGGTGCGTTGCTAACCCATCGTTGCCTCCCCCAACCCAAACCATGTGTATCCCTTCCTTCGTGCCATAAGTGCCATCCCCATCCACACCACCTCAACCCAAACCGCACCACCCCTCCCCACCCCACCCCACCACATTACACCACGGCAGATCCAGGCGGTGGAGTATGCCATGGATGGTGACGTCATCCTCTCCTGTGGGGGCTCCACTCTCAAGGTGAGAGGGCACTTGCTTTGCAATGCCACACACTGCCATGCCCTTGCCGTGGGGGCTGACTTGGTCCGTCCGTCCATACCCAAGAGCCTACTCGAAGCCAAGGTCAAACATCCCGCTCTTTCTCTGCATTCAAGCCCTTATCGTCATGTGCATGCATGCAGGCTAGGCTACAAACCCCGTTCCGCCCACAGGGTTCTGTAACCGCATATCCCTTCCACCTGCCACTGCAACCATTCCGTTCAGGTGTGGGACGCCACGTCAGCATCGCTGCTGCACTCCTGTGGGCCGGGAGTTGCCACCGCCACTGCCACTGCCACTGTCAGTGGGAACCCGTCGATTGCGTGTCATCGCGACAAGATCTGTGCTCTTGCCGTTAACCATCGGCTTCCATGTGAGTCAGTGCAGTCACCAAGGGAGCAAAGAGGGTTTTGAGACGTCTCAAAAGAGGGGTAGGGAAAGCTTTTTGAAAAACACGAGAAAGCTGGCATAAAAAGGGAGACAATATGAGGAGCGGATGGCAGATGATCGATGCGGTGTGATGTGCACTCACCCAAGCCCCTCGCCACCACCCCCACCCTGTCACTACTTCGCTTCCCACCCTGTGCCACACATCAGACCTAGCAGCCACCAGCGGTGCCAGCAGTGATCCGCGGGTCATCCTGTGGAATGTGCGCTCATCCACACTCCCCATCGCTCACCACCTCTCTCCATCTCTCCCCACCCTGCCTTGCTCTCCACATCAAAGCCGCCAGCGGTACCAGCAGTACCTGTGGGATGTGCGCTCAGCCCATCTCCCTCCCTCCCCACCCTCCTCTGCACCACCACCACCTCTCTCCTCACTCTTCCTTACTACCCACGTCAGACCTAGTGGCCACCAGCGGTGCCAGTGGGGACCCACGGGTCATCCTGTGGGATGTGCTCTCAGCCAAGCCCCCCATCGCCCCCCCCCTACACCCGCTAACCACCGCTCTCCATCACTCCCCACCTTTTTCCACTCTGCACATCAGACCTAGCAGCCACGAGTGGCGCCAGTGGGGACCCACGGATCATCCTGTGGGACGTGCGCTCATCCAAGCCCCTCGCCCATCTCTCTCCCTCCTTCACTCTGCCGCCAAGGTATATTGCCGACCAGGTGTATTGCCGGCCAGGTGTATTACCGGCCAGGTGCATTGCCGGCCAGGTGTATTGCCGGCCAGGTGTATTGCCACCCAGGTAGCCCAGGTATATTGCTGCCCGCGTATATTGCCGCCCAGGTTTATTGCCGCCCAGGTGTATTGCCGCCCAGGTATCTTGCCGCCCAGGTGTATTGCCGCCCAGGTATATTGCCGCCCAGGTGTATTGCCGCCCAGGTGTATTGCCGCCCAGGTATATTGCCGCCCAGGTGTATTGCCGCCCAGGTGTATTGCCACCCAGGTGTATTGCCGCCCAGGTGTATAGCCGGCCAGATAACCCAGGTGTATTGCCGCCCAGGTAGCCCAGGTGTATTGCCGCCCAGGTGTATTGCCGCCCAGGTGTATAGCCGGCCAGGTAACGCAGGTGTATTGCCGCCCAGGTAGCCCAGGTGTATTGCCGCCCAGGTGTATTGCCGCCCAGGTGTATTGCCGCCCAGGTGTATAGCCGGCCAGGTAACCCAGGTGTATTGCCACCCAGGTAGCCCAGGTGTATTGCTGCCCAGGTAGCCCAGGTGTATTGCCGCCCAGGTAGCCCTGCCACCCAGGTGTTCTGCCACTGCGACGTGAGGACTATGCACACCCCACCCCATCTGTCATCCACCCCAACCAGCCAGCTCCCAGCAGGCCTGCTCGCTCGATTGCGAGTGCGCATGCCAATGGATGCGCAGTGCTGTGCTTTGTGGACGCTGCATGAAACATCACATCATCCATACGCCCCCACCAACCCCCCCAGCAGCGCAGCAAGGGCAGCAGGCCAGAGTGCCCCGGTGCGAGTGCACATGGCAATGGATACTCTGTGCTGTGCTTTGCCTTACATCGCATGCCACATCATCCATTCACTCCCCAACCAACCAACCCCCAGCACGGCGGTTGGTGCAGCAGGCCAGAGTGCTCATGTGCGAGTGCACATGGCTCTGGAGGCGCTGTGCTGTGCTTTGCGGTCATTGCACGACGACGGCTCTGGGGACACGATATCATCCATGTGATTCCCCAACCCCAGCAAGGCAGCACGGCACTCTCCCCGGGTGGGAGTGCGCATGGCGATGGATGTGCTGCGCTGCGCTTCGCGTCGCCTTACATTGCATGTCTCATCATCCATTCACCCCCAGCAGGGCAGCAGGGCAGAGTGCCCCCGTGCGAGTGCGCATGGCAATGGATGCGCTGTGCTTTGCCGACGACCGCTGGCTCGTGTGCGGCTCTGATACCATCGGCACTGCACCCTCCACCATCGTCCTCTGGGATATCTCCCACCCATCCTCCTCCTCCTCCTCCTCCGCTGCACCCTCTGCCTCACCTGCTGCTACTCCCCCTGCTGGTGCCTCTGCTGCCAGGGCAGGATCCTCTGTGTTCCACATGCCTGCCTTCTCCTCTGTGAGTCCACTTGGCACCAAGTGAAGGCTATGTGAAGCTCTTACTTCGACCTTCAAACTGCAGGGTGATCTTGAGGGATTCGCAAAAACACAGAGTGCGATCCTCTGTGTTCCACATGCCTGCCTTCTCCTCTGTAAGAACAACCTCGTTTTCCTCTCCCCTCATGCTATGCGTTGCCACCAACCCCACCAACTCTCTGCCAGGAGTGATGCATGCCGTATCCCATGTCTCTCTGCCCATGCTTATCACTCATGCCTACGTCTTCCCATCCGTACGCCATGCTCTATCTCTCTCCCTCCCCCATGCCGTGCAGTTCGTCACATGTGTGGCCGCCAACCCCACCGACTCCCGCACCATTATTGCGGGTGAGCTCCTCTGTCCCACTCTGTCTCATATACCCCCCCTCATCCACCTACCTTGCTCCTCTGATATTACACACGTATGACTCACCAACCTTCCCTACCGTGATTGAAATTTCTTGTACTAGTGGGCTTTCTTTGATTGGTCCACTGCTTCCCTTCCAGCCCCCTTACATTCCATTGGGAAGACGCACCGGGCTCTCGTTCCCAAGCTCCATTGGCTTGCTCCCATTCTCGTGTCAAATGCACTCTCCCTCCTGTTCCACCCATGCCACGCATGCCACCCATGGCACCACACCACGCATGCCACCACCCATGCCACCACCCATGCCACCACCCATGCCACCACCCATGCCACCACACATGCCACCACACATGCCACCACACATGCCACCCCCCATGCCACCACACATGCCACCACACATGCCACCACACATGCCACCACACATGCCACCACACATGCCACCACACATGCCACCACACATGCCACCACACATGCCACCACCCATGCCACCACCCATGCCACCACACATGCCACCCACACATGCCACCACACATGCCACCACCCATGCCACCACCCATGCCACCACACATGCCACCACACATGCCACCACACATGCCACCACACATGCCACCACACATGCCACCACACATGCCACCACACATGCCACCACACATGCCACCACACATGCCACCACACATGCCACCACACATGCCACCACACATGCCACCACACATGCCACCACACATGCCACCACACATGCCACCACACATGCCACCACACATGCCACCACCCATGCCACCACCCATGCCACCACCCATGCCACCACCCATGCCACCACCCATGCCACCACCCATGCCACCACCCATGCCACCACACATGCCACCACACATGCCACCACACATGCCACCACCCATGCCACCACCCATGCCACCACCCATGCCACCACCCATGCCACCACCCATGCCACCACCCCATGCCACCACACATGCCACCACACATGCCACCACAATGCCACCACACATGCCACCACACATGCCACCACGCATGCCACCACCCATGCCACCACCCATGCCACCACCCATGCCACCACCCATGCCACCACCCATGCCACCACACATGCCACCACCCATGCCACCACCCATGCCCCCACCCATGCCACCACCCATGCCACCACCCATGCCACCACCCATGCCACCACACATGCCACCACACATGCCACCACACATGCCACCACACATGCCACCACCCATGCCACCACCCATGCCACCACACATGCCACCACCCATGCCACCACACATGCCACCACACATGCCACCACACATGCCACCACCCATGCCACCACCCATGCCACCACACATGCCACCACACATGCCACCACACATGCCACCACACATGCCACCACACATGCCACCACACATGCCACCACACATGCCACCACACATGCCACCACACATGCCACCACACCATGCCACCACACATGCCACCACACATGCCACCACACATGCCACCACACATGCCACCACACATGCCACCCACACATGCCACCACCCATGCCACCACACATGCCACCACCCATGCCACCAACCATGCCACCACACATGCCACCACACATGCCACCACCCATGCCACCACCCATGCCACCACCCATGCCACCACCCATGCCACCACACATGCCACCACCCATGCCACCACACATGCCACCACACATGCCACCACACATGCCACCACACATGCCACCACACATGCCACCACACATGCCACCACCCATGCCACCACCCATGCCACCACACATGCCACCACACATGCCACCACACATGCCACCACACATGCCACCACACATGCCACCACACATGCCACCACACATGCCACCACACATACCACCACACATGCCACCACACATGCCACCACCCATGCCACCACACATGCCACCACCCATGCCACCACCCATGCCACCACCCATGCCACCACCCATGCCACCACCCATGCCACCACCCATGCCACCACCCATGCCACCACACATGCCACCACACATGCCACCACACATGCCACCACACATGCCACCACCCATGCCACCACACATGCCACCACACATGCCACACCACATGCCACCACACATGCCACCACACATGCCACCACACATGCCACCACACATGCCACCACACATGCCACCACACATGCCACCACCCATGCCACCACCCATGCCACCACCCATGCCACCACCCATGCCACCACCCATGCCACCACCCATGCCACCACACATGCCACCACCCATGCCACCACCCATGCCACCACCCATGCCACCACACATGCCACCACACATGCCACCACCCATGCCACCACACATGCCACCACCCATGCCACCACACATGCCACCACACATGCCACCACACATGCCACCACCCATGCCACCACCCATGCCACCACCCATGCCACCACCCATGCCACCACCCATGCCACCACCCATGCCACCACCCATGCCACCACCCACCACACATGCCACCACACATGGCCACCACCCATGCCACCACCCATGCCACCCAACACATGCCACCACCCATGCCACCACCCATGCCACCACCCATGCCACCACCCATGCCACACCCATGCCACCACCCATGCCACCACCCATGCCACCACCATGCCACACCATGCCACCACCCAGCCACCACCCATGCCACCACCCATGCCACCACACATGCCCACACCCATGCCAACCACCCATGCCACCACACATGCAACCACACATGCCACCACCCATGCCACCACACATGCCACCACACATGCCACCACACATGCCACCACACATGCCACCACACATGCCACCACCCATGCCACACCCATGCCACCACCCATGCCCACCACACATGCCACCACACATGCCACCACCCATGCCACCACCCATGCCACCACCCATGCCACCACCCATGCCACCACCCATGCCACCACACATGCCACCACACATGCCACCACACATGCCACCACCCATGCCACCACCCATGCCACCACCCATGCCACCACCCATGCCACCACACATGCCACCACCCATGCCACCACCCATGCCACCACCCATGCCACCACCCATGCCACCACCCATGCCACCACCCATGCCACCACCCATGCCACCACACATGCCACCACCCATGCCACCACCCATGCCACCACCCATGCCACCACCCATGCCACCACCCATGCCACCACCCATGCCACCACCCATGCCACCACCCATGCCACCACCCATGCCACCACCCATGCCACCACCCATGCCACCACCCATGCCACCACCCATGCCACCACCCACCCATGCCACCACCCACCCATGCCACCACCCACCCATGCCACCACCCATGCCACCACCCATGCCACCACCCATGCCACCACCCATGCCACCACCCATGCCACCACCCATGCCACCACCCATGCCACCACCCATGCCACCACCCATGCCACCACCCATGCCACCACCCATGCCACCACCCATGCCACCACCCATGCCACCACCCATGCCACCACCCATGCCACCACCCATGCCACCACCCATGCCACCACCCATGCCACCACCCATGCCACCACCCATGCCACCACCCATGCCACCACCCATGCCACCACCCATGCCACCACCCATGCCACCACCCATGCCACCACCCATGCCACCACCCATGCCACCACCCATGCCACCACCCATGCCACCACACATGCCACCACCCATGCCACCACCCATGCCACCACCCATGCCACCACCCATGCCACCACCCATGCCACCACCCATGCCACCACCCATGCCACCACACATGCCACCACCCATGCCACCACCCATGCCACCACCCATGCCACCACCCATGCCACCACCCATGCCACACCCATGCCACCACCCATGCCACCACACATGCCACCACACATGCCACCACACATGCCACCACCCATGCCACCACCCATGCCACCACCCATGCCACCACCCATGCCACCACCCATGCCACCACCCATGCCACCACCCATGCCACCACCCATGCCACCACCCATGCCACCACCCATGCCACCACCCATGCCACCACCCATGCCACCACCCATGCCACCACCCATGCCACCACACATGCCACCACCCATGCCACCACCCATGCCACCACGCATGCCACCACCCATGCCACCACCCATGCCACCACCCATGCCACCACCCATGCCACCACCCATGCCACCACCCATGCCACCACCCATGCCACCACCCATGCCACCACCCATGCCACCACCCATGCCACCACCCATGCCACCACCCATGCCACCACCCATGCCACCACCCATGCCACCACCCATGCCACCACCCATGCCACCACCCATGCCACCACCCATGCCACCACCCATGCCACCACCCATGCCACCACCCATGCCACCACCCATGCCACCACCCATGCCACCACCCATGCCACCACCCATGCCACCACCCATGCCACCACCCATGCCACCACCCATGCCACCACACATGCCACCACACATGCCACCACACATGCCACCACCCATGCCACCACCCATGCCACCACCCATGCCACCACCCATGCCACCACCCATGCCACCACCCATGCCACCACCCATGCCACCACCCATGCCACCACCCATGCCACCACCCATGCCACCACCCATGCCACCACCCATGCCACCACCCATGCCACCACCCATGCCACCACCCATGCCACCACCATGCCACCACCCATGCCACCACCCATGCCACCACCCATGCCACCACCCATGCCACCACCCATGCCACCACCCATGCCACCACCCATGCCACCACCCATGCCACCACCCATGCCACCACCCATGCCACCACCCATGCCACCACCCATGCCACCACCCATGCCACCACCCATGCCACCACCCATGCCACCACCCATGCCACCACCCATGCCACCACCCATGCCACCACCCATGCCACCACCCATGCCACCACCCATGCCACCACCCATGCCACCACCCATGCCACCACCCATGCCACCACCCATGCCACCACCCATGCCACCACCCATGCCACCACCCATGCCACCACCCATGCCACCACCCATGCCACCACCCATGCCACCACCCATGCCACCACCCATGCCACCACCCATGCCACCACCCATGCCACCACCCATGCCACCACCCATGCCACCACCCATGCCACCACCCATGCCACCACCCATGCCACCACCCATGCCACCACCCATGCCACCACCCATGCCACCACCCATGCCACCACCCATGCCACCACCCATGCCACCACCCATGCCACCACCCATGCCACCACCCATGCCACCACCCATGCCACCACCCATGCCACCACCCATGCCACCACCCATGCCACCACCCATGCCACCACCCATGCCACCACCCATGCCACCACCCATGCCACCACCCATGCCACCACCCATGCCACCACCCATGCCACCACCCATGCCACCACCCATGCCACCACCCATGCCACCACCCATGCCACCACCCATGCCACCCACCCATGCCACCACCCATGCCACCACCCATGCCACCACCCATGCCACCACCCATGCCACCACCCATGCCACCACCCATGCCACCACCCATGCCACCACCCATGCCACCACCCATGCCACCACCCATGCCACCACCCATGCCACCACCCATGCCACCACCCATGCCACCACCCATGCCACCACCCATGCCACCACCCATGCCACCACCCATGCCACCACCCATGCCACCACCCATGCCACCACCCATGCCACCACCCATGCCACCACCCATGCCACCACCCATGCCACCACCCATGCCACCACCCATGCCACCACCCATGCCACCACCCATGCCACCACCCATGCCACCACCCATGCCACCACCCATGCCACCACCCATGCCACCACCCATGCCACCACCCATGCCACCACCATGCCACCACCCATGCCACCACACATGCCACCACACATGCCACCACACATGCCACCACCCATGCCACCACCCATGCCACCACCCATGCCACCACCCATGCCACCACCCATGCCACCACCCATGCCACCACCCATGCCACCACCCATGCCACCACCCATGCCACCACCCATGCCACCACCCATGCCACCACCATGCCACCACCCATGCCACCACCCATGCCACCACCCATGCCACCACCCATGCCACCACCCATGCCACCACCCATGCCACCACCCATGCCACCACCCATGCCACCACCCATGCCACCACCCATGCCACCACCCATGCCACCACACATGCCACCACCCATGCCACCACCCATGCCACCACCCATGCCACCACCCATGCCACCACCCATGCCACCACCCATGCCACCACCCATGCCACCACCCATGCCACCACCCATGCCACCACCCATGCCACCACCCATGCCACCACCCATGCCACCACCATGCCACCACCCATGCCACCACCCATGCCACCACCCATGCCACCACCCATGCCACCACCCATGCCACCACCCATGCCACCACCCATGCCACCACCCATGCCACCACCCATGCCACCACCCATGCCACCACCCATGCCACCACCCATGCCACCACCCATGCCACCACCCATGCCACCACCCATGCCACCACCCATGCCACCACCCATGCCACCACACATGCCACCACCCATGCCACCACCCATGCCACCACCCATGCCACCACCCATGCCACCACCCATGCCACCACCCATGCCACCACCCATGCCACCACCCATGCCACCACCCATGCCACCACCCATGCCACCACACATGCCACCACCCATGCCACCACCCATGCCACCACCCATGCCACCACACATGCCACCACCCATGCCACCACCCATGCCACCACCCATGCCACCACCCATGCCACCACCCATGCCACCACACATGCCACCACCCATGCCACCACCCATGCCACCACCCATGCCACCACCCATGCCACCACACATGCCACCACACATGCCACCACACATGCCACCACCCATGCCACCACCCATGCCACCACCCATGCCACCACCCATGCCACCACCCATGCCACCACCCATGCCACCACCCATGCCACCACCCATGCCACCACCCATGCCACCACCCATGCCACCACCCATGCCACCACCCATGCCACCACCCATGCCACCACCCATGCCACCACCCATGCCACCACCCATGCCACCACCCATGCCACCACCCATGCCACCACCCATGCCACCACCCATGCCACCACCCATGCCACCACCCATGCCACCACCCATGCCACCACCCATGCCACCACCCATGCCACCACCCATGCCACCACCCATGCCACCACACATGCCACCACCATGCCACCACCCATGCCACCACCCCATGCCACCACCCATGCCACCACACATGCCACCACACATGCCACCACCATGCCACCACCCATGCCACCACCCATGCCACCACCCATGCCACCACCCATGCCACCACCCATGCCACCACCCATGCCACCACCCATGCCACCACCCATGCCACCACCCATGCCACCACCCATGCCACCACCCATGCCACCACCCATGCCACCACCCATGCCACCACCCATGCCACCACCCATGCCACCACCCATGCCACCACCCATGCCACCACCCATGCCACCACCCATGCCACCACACATGCCACCACCCATGCCACCACCCATGCCACCACCCATGCCACCACCCATGCCACCACCCATGCCACCACCCATGCCACCACCCATGCCACCACCCATGCCACCACCCATGCCACCACCATGCCACCACCCATGCCACCACACATGCCACCACCCATGCCACCACCCATGCCACCACCCATGCCACCACCATGCCACCACACCATGCCACCACACATGCCACCACACATGCCACCACCCATGCCACCACCCATGCCACCACCCATGCCACCACCCATGCCACCACCCATGCCACCACCCATGCCACCACCCATGCCACCACCCATGCCACCACCCATGCCACCACCCATGCCACCACCCATGCCACCACCCATGCCACCACCCATGCCACCACCCATGCCACCACCCATGCCACCACCCATGCCACCACCCATGCCACCACCCATGCCACCACCCATGCCACCACCCATGCCACCACCCATGCCACCACCATGCCACCACCCATGCCACCACCCATGCCACCACCCATGCCACCACCCATGCCACCACCCATGCCACCACCCATGCCACCACACATGCCACCACCCATGCCACCACCCATGCCACCACCCATGCCACCACCCATGCCACCACACATGCCACCACCCATGCCACCACCCATGCCACCACCCATGCCACCACCCATGCCACCACCCATGCCACCACCCATGCCACCACCCATGCCACCACCCATGCCACCACACATGCCACCACCCATGCCACCACCCATGCCACCACCCATGCCACCACCCATGCCACCACCCATGCCACCACCCATGCCACCACCCATGCCACCACCCATGCCACCACCCATGCCACCACCCATGCCACCACCCATGCCACCACCCATGCCACCACCCATGCCACCACACATGCCACCACACATGCCACCACACATGCCACCACACATGCCACCACACATGCCACCACACATGCCACCACACATGCCACCACCCATGCCACCACACATGCCACCACACATGCCACCACACATGCCACCACACATGCCACCACACATGCCACCACACATGCCACCACACATGCCACCACACATGCCACCACACATGCCACCACACATGCCACCACACATGCCACCACCCATGCCACCACCCATGCCACCACCCATGCCACCACCCATGCCACCACACATGCCACCACACATGCCACCACCCATGCCACCACCCATGCCACCACCCATGCCACCACCCATGCCACCACACATGCCACCACACATGCCACCACACATGCCACCACACATGCCACCACACATGCCACCACACATGCCACCACACATGCCACCACCACATGCCACCACCCATGCCACCACCCATGCCACCACCCATGCCACCACACATGCCACCACACATGCCACCACACATGCCACCACACATGCCACCACACATGCCACCACACATGCCACCACACATGCCACCACACATGCCACCACCCATGCCACCACCCATGCCACCACACATGCCACCACACATGCCACCACCCATGCCACCACCCATGCCACCACCCATGCCACCACCCATGCCACCACCCATGCCACCACCCATGCCACCACCCATGCCACCACACATGCCACCACACATGCCACCACCCATGCCACCACCCATGCCACCACACATGCCACCACACATGCCAACCACATGCCACCACACCGCCACACACCATGCCACCACATGCCACCACACATGCCACCCCACACATGCCACCACCCATGCCACCACCCATGCCACCACCCATGCCACCACCCATGCCACCACCCATGCCACCACCCATGCCACCACCCATGCCACCACACATGCCACCACACATGCCACCACCCATGCCACCACCCATGCCACCACACATGCCACCACACATGCCACCACCCATGCCACCACCCATGCCACCACCCATGCCACCACCCATGCCACCACACATGCCACCCACATGCCACCACACATGCCACCACCCATGCCACCACCCATGCCACCACCCATGCCACCACCCATGCCACCACCCATGCCACCACCCATGCCACCACCCATGCCACCACACATGCCACCACCCATGCCACCACCCATGCCACCACCCATGCCACCACACATGCCACCACCCATGCCACCACCCATGCCACCACCCATGCCACCACCCATGCCACCACCCATGCCACCACCCATGCCACCACCCATGCCACCACCCATGCCACCACCCATGCCACCACCCATGCCACCACACATGCCACCACCCATGCCACCACACATGCCACCACCCATGCCACCACCCATGCCACCACCCATGCCACCACACATGCCACCACACCATGCCACCACCCATGCCACCACACATGCCACCACACATGCCACCACACATGCCACCACACATGCCACCACACATGCCACCACCCATGCCACCACCCATGCCACCACACATGCCACCACACATGCCACCACCACATGCCACCACCCATGCCACCACACATGCCACCACCCATGCCACCACCCATGCCACCCACATGCCACCACCCATGCCACCACCCATGCCACCACACATGCCACCACACATGCCACCACCCATGCCACCACCCATGCCACCACCCATGCCACCACCCATGCCACCACCCATGCCACCACACATGCCACCACCCATGCCACCACCCATGCCACCACCCATGCCACCACCCATGCCACCACCCATGCCACCACCCATGCCACCACCCATGCCACCACACATGCCACCACCCATGCCACCACCCATGCCACCACCCATGCCACCACCCATGCCACCACCCATGCCACCACCCATGCCACCACCCATGCCACCACCCATGCCACCACCCATGCCACCACCCATGCCACCACCCATGCCACCACCCATGCCACCACCCATGCCACCACACACCCATGCCACCACCCACCCATGCCACCACCCATGCCACCACCCATGCCACCACCCATGCCACCACCCATGCCACCACCCATGCCACCACCCATGCCACCACACATGCCACCACACATGCCACCACACATGCCACCACACATGCCACCACCCATGCCACCACCCACCCATGCCACCACCCCCACCCATGCCACCACCCATGCCACCACCCATGCCACCACCCATGCCACCACCATGCCACCACCCATGCCACCACCCATGCCACCACACATGCCACCACACATGCCACCACCCATGCCACCACCCATGCCACCACCCATGCCACCACCCATGCCACCACCCATGCCACCACCCATGCCACCACCCATGCCACCACCCATGCCACCACCCATGCCACCACCCATGCCACCACCCATGCCACCACCCATGCCACCACCCATGCCACCACCCATGCCACCACCCATGCCACCACCCATGCCACCACCCATGCCACCACCCATGCCACCACCCATGCCACCACCCATGCCACCACCCATGCCACCACCCATGCCACCACCCATGCCACCACCCATGCCACCACCCATGCCACCACCCATGCCACCACCCATGCCACCACCCATGCCACCACCCATGCCACCACCATGCCACCACCCATGCCACCACCCATGCCACCACCCATGCCACCACCCATGCCACCACACATGCCACCACACATGCCACCACCCATGCCACCACCCATGCCACCACCCATGCCACCACCCATGCCACCACCCATGCCACCACCCATGCCACCACACATGCCACCACCCATGCCACCACCCATGCCACCACCCATGCCACCACCCATGCCACCACCCATGCCACCACCCATGCCACCACCCATGCCACCACCCATGCCACCACCCATGCCACCACCCATGCCACCACCCATGCCACCACCCATGCCACCACCCATGCCACCACCCATGCCACCACCCATGCCACCACCCATGCCACCACCCATGCCACCACCCATGCCACCACCCATGCCACCACCCATGCCACCACCCATGCCACCACCCATGCCACCACCCATGCCACCACCCATGCCACCACCCATGCCACCACCCATGCCACCACCCATGCCACCACACATGCCACCACACATGCCACCACCCATGCCACCACCCATGCCACCACCCATGCCACCACCCATGCCACCACACATGCCACCCACACATGCCACCACACATGCCACCACCCATGCCACCACCCATGCCACCACCCATGCCACCACCCATGCCACCACCCATGCCACCACCCATGCCACCACCCATGCCCACCACCCATGCCACCACCCATGCCACCACCCATGCCACCACCCATGCCACCACCCATGCCACCACCATGCCACCACCCATGCCACCACCCATGCCACCACCCATGCCACCACCCATGCCACCACCCATGCCACCACCCATGCCACCCCCCACCCATGCCACCACCCATGCCACCACCCATGCCACCACCCATGCCACCACCCATGCCACCACCCATGCCACCACCCATGCCACCACCCATGCCACCACCCATGCCACCACCCATGCCACCACACATGCCACCACACATGCCACCACACATGCCACCACCCATGCCACCACCCATGCCACCACCCATGCCACCACCCATGCCACCACCCATGCCACCACCCATGCCACCACCCATGCCACCACACATGCCACCCACACATGCCACCACCACATGCCACCACCCATGCCAACCACCCATGCCACCACCCATGCCACCACCCCCATGCCACCACCCATGCCACCACCCCATGCCACCACCCATGCCACCACCCATGCCACCACCCATGCCACCACCCATGCCACCACCCATGCCACCACCCATGCCACCACCCATGCCACCACCCATCCACCACCCATGCCACCACCCATGCCACCACCCATGCCACCACCCATGCCACCACCCATGCCACCACCCATGCCACCACCCATGCCACCACCCATGCCACCACCCATGCCACCACCCATGCCACCACCCATTGCCACCACCCATGCCACCACCCATGCCACCACCCATGCCACCACCCATGCCACCACCCATGCCACCACCCATGCCACCACCCATGCCACCACCCATGCCACCACCATGCCACCACCCATGCCACCACCCATGCCACCACCCATGCCACCACCCATGCCACCACACATGCCACCACCACATGCCACCACCCATGCCACCACCCATGCCACCACCCATGCCACCACCCATGCCACCACCCATGCCACCACCCATGCCACCACCCATGCCACCACCCATGCCACCACCCATGCCACCACCCATGCCACCACACATGCCACCACACATGCCACCACCCATGCCACCACCCATGCCACCACCCATGCCACCACCCATGCCACCACCCATGCCACCACCCATGCCACCACCCATGCCACCACCCATGCCACCACCCATGCCACCACCCATGCCACCACCCATGCCACCACCCATGCCACCACCCATGCCACCACCCATGCCACCACCCATGCCACCACCCATGCCACCACCCATGCCACCACCCATGCCACCACCCATGCCACCACCCATGCCACCACCCATGCCACCACCCATGCCACCACCATGCCACCACCCATGCCACCACCCATGCCACCACCCATGCCACCACCCATGCCACCAACCCATGCCACACCACCCATGCCACCACCCATGCCACCACCCATGCCACCACCATGCCACCACCCATGCCACCACCATGCCACCACCCATGCCACCACCCATGCCACCACCCATGCCACCACCACATGCCACCACACATGCCACCACCATGCCACCACCCATGCCACCACCCATGCCACCACCCATGCCACCACCCATGCCACACCCATGCCACCACCCATGCCACCACCCATGCCACACCCATGCCACCACCCATGCCACCCACACATGCCACCACCCATGCCACCACCCATGCCACCACCCATGCCACCACCCATGCCACCACCCATGCCACCACCCATGCCACCACCCATGCCACCACCCATGCCACCACCCCATGCCACCACCCATGCCACCACCCATGCCACCACCCATGCCACCACCCATGCCACCACCCATGCCACCACCCATGCCACCACCCATGCCACCACACATGCCACCCACACATGCCACCACACCATGCCACCACCCATGCCACCACCCACATGCCACCACCCATGCCACCACCCATGCCACCACCCATGCCACCACCCATGCCACCACCCATGCCACCACCCATGCCACCACCCATGCCACCACCCATGCCACCACCATGCCACCACCCATGCCACCACCCATGCCACCACCCATGCCCACCACCCATGCCAAACCCATGCACCACACCATGCCACCACCCATGCCACCACCCATGCCACCACCCATGCCACCACCCATGCCACCACCCATGCCACCACCCATGCCACCACCCATGCCACCACCCATGCCACCACCCATGCCACCACCCATGCCACCACCCATGCCACCACCCATGCCACCACCCATGCCACCACCCATGCCACCACCCATGCCACCACCCATGCCACCACCCATGCCACCACCCATGCCACCACCCATGCCACCACCCATGCCACCACCCATGCCACCACCCATGCCACCACCCATGCCACCACCCATGCCACCACCCATGCCACCACCCATGCCACCACCCATGCCAACCACCCATGCCACCACCCATGCCACCACCCATGCCACCACCCATGCCACCACCCATGCCACCACCCATCATGCCACCACCCATGCCACCACCCATGCCACCACCCATGCCACCACCCATGCCCCCACCCATGCCACCACCCATGCCACCACCCATGCCACCACCCATGCCACCACCCATGCCACCACCCATGCCACCACCCCCATGCACCACCCATGCCACCACCCATGCCACCACCCATGCCACCACCCATGCCACAACCCATGCCACCACCAATGCCACCACCCATGCCACCACCCATGCCACCACCCATGCCACCACCCATGCACCACCCATGCCACCACCCATGCCACCACCCATGCCACCACCCATGCCACCACCCATGCCACCACCCATGCCACCACCCATGCCACCACCCATGCCACCACCCATGCCACCACCCATGCCACCCACCCACCCATGCCACCACCCATGCCACCACCCATGCCACCACCCATGCCACCACACATGCCACCACCCATGCCACCACCCATGCCACCACCCATGCCACCACCCATGCCACCACCCATGCCACCACCCATGCCACCACCCATGCCACCAACCCATGCCACCACCCATGCCACCACCCATGCCACCACCCATGCCACCACCCATGCCACCACCCATGCCACCACCCATGCCACCACCCATGCCACCACCCATGCCACCACCCATGCCACCA